CGGCAAGTAACTTATCTTCGTTTAACATTGAGTAATCTTATTTGAAGATTAACATGTCAAGAATATAGATACTTTCCAAATATGGATATCCTCTTTTTCTGTGCATACACTGAGAAAAAAAGCAGTTGGATCAACAAAGTCGGCGGTTACTCTTCAAAGATCCTTTGCTCGAACGAATTGTTCAAGCGAAGCCGAATCGAAATTTTGATGCTACTTTCAGCCTAGCTATTCTATTCAACATCTATTTTAACGCCAAAAAAGTGGAAAGAGAATTTTCGGATGATTTCATCATCAGAGTCAAAGTAGAAGTAAATAGTATTATTAGAATTAAACCTACTTTGCCAACTTAGTTCTTATTATGTTGCAGAATTCAAGGTTTAACATAGGGCCAAAATTTCGGGATGTCTCATTAAATCAACTACATTTTTTCTCAGTACATATAGATGGAACAGACGCTTTTATAGTTTTCGCGTTGAATCATACGATTGCCACTTAAAGCGATCGCAATTAATCCACATCGCGTACGGTGTCTGTGATATCATATTCGGCGAGATCGCGCGCATTGGTGAAGAACACGAAACGCGAGATCTCGGCAGCGCGACAATCGCGCGTGGTCTCATCAGCTTTCCGATTTAATCGTGCTGACAATAGGTGCAGATTTCCCTGCATTGTCGAGTTTTCACCGGTGACGATTTCGCGAGAACCGCTCGAGTGGTGCGGCGTGAGAGCGCGATCGATAAATAAAACGCGGGCAAAGTCTCGCGTGCAATCGGCCACGTAATTTGCAGCGTAGATATGCTTCAATGGTTCCAGCATAGGCGTCCTTGATTTAGAATAAACGATTAGCACGGGAAAATAGCGTTCTCGCGATACGCCGTCTGATTACGGCGACTGACGTCTCATTAAGACCACGTTGATCTCGCTTTGACACCTTGACTGCCACGTGTTACGTCAGTGTAATAAATTAGCGTTTCTGGAGGCGTTGGTGTTACATGAGCGTGATATTACACTGGGAAAGGAAAACTTTAAAATTTACTTGCGGGATATAAACTTTATTCTCTGCAGAAATATATTTTGTTTCACGGAAATGAACGTTACATTCCAGAAATAAATTTTAAAGCATTTTTTTTCTCAATGTACACGTGCTAACTGTACGATGAGAAAGAACTACTCGAAAAATTTATTTGGTGGTATAAAGTTTATTCACGGAAATAAATTTTATTCTACGGAAATAACTTTTTTCGCAAGGAAATAAACTTTATATCCCACAAATAAATTTGCAACTATTTTTCTCAGTGTGTAAAGGGAAAAGTTTGGTTGAATTAACGTGACAGTGTACAAAACAAACGTTTTGGTTACTTTTGTTGAAGGAAATAGAATTTTGAACCCAATTTGGTTTATAAGAATCAGAAATTCTGTTTTTTTTTTCAATCAAAATTGTTTCATTCTGAGTTTGAATCAAAAACATTCGGTTGAATTTGGCTTATACACTGAGAGGAAAATATTTGGAAATACATTGGTGAAGTATAAAGTTTATATTCACTGAAATAAGCTTTATTTCGCACAGAAATAAATTTTATTTTACAGAGATAAACTTTGTATCTTACAAATAAATGTTTATAGTATTTCTTTTTTAGTGTAAGAACCGAAGATTCTCTGTTCCCTTTTTTTCTGTTCTCTGTTCAACCAAAATACGTTTGGTCCGTTCACTGTCACATCAACCCAACCAATTTTTTAGATATTAACAAGAGAGCTGCCATGCTTTTTAATGCGTGGAATTAATAATTAATTAATTCATTTGCGTGGAATTAAATACGCAAACAAAAATTTGACGCAAAGGTAGGTTTTCTCGAAAAGCCCCGTGACAGACGACCTGTAGAAGAAAAACAAATAATTTCCTTTGAAAAAGCAAGCTTCACAACAGCGATGAGAATCTATTATTGAACGTGTCGGATGCTTCAGGGAACGGACGAGCAAATATTTAACGTGCGTGTAAACACCCATAACCGCGACGAGCAAATTATTAATCGCAGCGAGTGTTTTATTTAAAACACAGTCGAAGATCGTGTACATGTGCGCGGCAGGTGTGGCACAACCGTCGGATTTTGTGTCGACGGTTCAGCGTTGGAATTATCAAACGTTAGGCGTTGGATCGGTCGAACGCACTTTCAAACATTCGACCAGCGAAAATCGTTTCTGCGTGCCGAACTTCGATATAGATGACTAGCGGAGGTTTCGCAAATATTTTGATCTTCCCTGCTGCAACTATTGTTGCAACAAACGATCCGCCACAGGCAGCGGCTGTATCAGTTCCTCTTTAGGTATAGACAGAAGGACGTCGGTAAACACTCGTCGGAGCGAGTCGGCTGCAGAGTTACGGATTCGCCCGATCGTTGTTTAGAGATCACCTGGGCGAAAACAATGTAAATGCGCGGTGGTAAAAGTATCCTGCTGAAAATGTATCTCTAAATCTCCCAGAGAAAGGGAGTGAAAGAGATATTTCGAATTAAATGAAAAAATAATAGCTGTGAAATGGATATAATGCAGTCGTGTGTGCGTTGTCGTTATAATCATTATTATCATATGGACTCTCTCGTTCCGTTTATTTTAATTTCACCATTTTATTCCACGGATTGGATTACACGCTTTCGAAATTTCCACCAAATATTAAATTAAATCTTGAAAATACAAGATACACTAGAAAAAAGGATTTTGTTGTCAAAACGAAGATTTGCTTAACCGGGCCGAAATTTGGTTGAAATGGGACCAAGTATTTAATAGTTGGGACCAGAAAATTTCATTGTCGCCTGTGTGTTTTGTCTAATGCATCACAAGTAAAAAACATGATAATACCAGCCAGATCGAATACTTTATACTGAAATATCGCTCATTATCGGACTCGAATCAAACATATAAATTCCCGACATATAAATTCACTCGCGTGTTAATCCACGGTGTCCACTTCGACTCGATTATAATGTCAGCTCTCTCCGCTACAGGCCGAGATAATTCGGATTCGCACGTATTAATTGACGCGGCTCGCGTGCCGCGTAAACGCGCGCTCTTTGATATCACGAATTACCACGGTCAATTACGGCGCAGTCGGGTAGCCCCGGAAGGTGTTTAACGCGCGAATCACGCGAAGGTGCTTAGCTAAATCTAAAGATGAAAAACTTGCACGATACAGAGTGTTTACAAATTGTACATACTAAAGCCTAGTCAACAATGTGCTTTTTGCTTTCTGTTTCTTTCTCTTTATCTCTTTCTGACTCAAATCTTAAGCCTTAAGACAGAAGAAGACAGAACACAAGAAACAGGAAGCAAAGAGTACATTGTGGATTAAGAGAACTTAAGTTTAAGAGAGAGCGTATTTCCCAAATCAATGGAAACGGGAAACTTTCTATAAACATGAGCGATTAAGTTACAATCTTTGAAATGCCTTATTATCGAAAAGAAAAGAACAAATCCGATAATAAATCAAATATGATTTTTTTGTACGACAATTTTTCATAATAGATGTTGAATGGAACAGTAAGGCTAAAAGTAGGATCAAAATCTCGACTTGGGTCTTCACGCGATAATTCTTCCACACAAGACAGAGTTTCCGGGATACACCCCTGTGTACACGCTGCCTGTCCAGGGGATGATCTCTCGACCGAGAGATCGTTCTTGCAGCGGATCTCACGCCACGGGATACGGGCGTGTACACAATAACGATCCGACCACTTAAAAACCTTGGACCGTTTTCTCATTTATACGACGCGCTATCGCGACCGAAGCTGGATGCTTCGCTTTGAGCTTAAAGGGAGATGCATTCGAGCGGCTGCTCGCCGCACTGCACCCGTTGTCTCCATTGTCTTCACTGGGCCGGCTATTGTTGCGAGGTTCCATCGAAATTCTTGTTTGCCCCGGCGCAGTGCACGCCAATTGCACGCTATCCCAGAGCGTCGCCGAGTCCTGCGGGGGAGATTTTACTCCGCTTGCAGTATGGTCACTTTAATCCACGTACTCGACGGCGGACAGTTGTTAAGCACAATCGCGTAAACTCTAGGAAAGTGTGCCGGCGAATACGACCTGTGTGGAGAGAGGGAGGGAGGAAAAGGGGAGGGAATGGGAGGAATGTATGTCGCACGCGATTTTGTCGTGCAAGCGGCTCTCAATTGGCCTGATAATCGAATTTATGAGAAGATCGATGCCCGGTCCCCGGAGGGCAGTCTCTCTTCCGCGAGAAAATAGAATCCGCGCCCGCCCGTTCCGAGCGAAAATATTTGCCGGGCTCGTTTCGCATTCGCTGACGTTATTCTCTTCTCCATTTTTATGCCCGCTTCTTTTTTTCGGACGCGACTATCTTACGCAAATATTTGCCGGCGGAAGTGTTTAAAACGCGAGTTTATTCACGAACGATCGTGAATACAAGAGGAGCGTCTTATTCATCGCTCGAAACCGGATCATTGTTCTCAATGGAGAACACGGTACCAATCGTTTTTTCCTTTTTTTATTTTTTTTTTTAGAAACGGGGAGGTTAATTCGGTTCAACGTTGCGTGTCGATCCATTTCCCTGCGAAAGGATCTCGAATGGTGCGCACAAGCTGTCCGAATGAATAGCAGTTCAAGGCGACGCGACTGTCGCGAAATGCAATTTCCGAATTTCCAGTGGAACTCCGTGACTGCACGTGATTTTTCGCGACAGACAGAGAATAATTGAATTTTTCGTCATAGTATCAATTTAATTAACGTAGAGAAAAAACCTTGCACGAGCGCCGCGAAGCATTCAGGCATCAGCGACGAGTTTACTTTCGGTAAACAATCTGCTTCAACGCGGTTGTTAGTAGTTAAATCTCCTTCTGCGCGACTCATGTGACCCCAAGACGATTCCCGGCTTTTGTTTGCGCGTCCGTTTGTTACACGAACAACGCGAAGTAAAAATCCCAAAGTGGCTCCAAGTGCTCTTAATAATTAAGGTCTCGAAATCTCTCCTGAGAGATACCGTTCATTTTCAGCTGGCCGTCTCTTGAACGGCGGCAAAATCGCGTAGGTGGAGCGTCATGCAACCGAGAAAGAAAAAGTGCCGGGAACGGCGCGCCTCGATCTGACGACGAAGAGGAGGATCCGGTGCGGGACCGCCAGCTCGACCCGCTTCTCGAGGCCCTCCTCGGGGAGCCTCGACTATTCGGACGCTTCGTTTCGCGAAACATCGCGCGGACGACTCCGCTCCCGGCGGATCGACCGCGCCTCCGAATGATTCTCTGACAACTTCCGTCGCGTTCTTCGCCGCGAGGAGCCCGTTTCATCCTCCTCGCCGCGATTCCGCCCGAGAAGTCTCGTCGCCGTGAACTCGCGTGAACCGGCGAGACCCCCGAAGATGGACGAAGACGATGCGGAGGACGTGCAGACGGCGGCGGTCAGCACGAGGATTACCGCCTCGACGAGATTCACCTCCAGCAGCAGGAAGCTAACCCTGCGGGCGCAGGAGTCCGCGGAGGACTCCGACACGATGGAGTGCGCGTCCGAGAACGAAGTGGAGAACCTGCCGAAGGATGAGGACGCGTCGCAGTTGACGAGGATACGCGAGAAGATGTCGCGGAAGAGCGGCGGTTACTCCTTAGACGTTCCCGACGACGAGTCCATATTGCTGCGCAGGAGGACGGCCACGTCGACGATGACGACGTTGTCGTCGTCCCTGCGCGTCAACGACGACTCGACGAGGTACTCGAGCTCGCGACTGGGTTTCTTCATGGCCACGAGTCGCAGCCCGCAGTCTAGCTCGAGCCAAGAGGAATACGAGCCCGAGGTGAAGAGCATCTCCAGGCTGCAAATACAGCAGCAACGCCAACAACAGCACCTGTTGACAGCTGGTGTGGCTGGCCAAGTAACCGCACGGTCGATGGAGAGCCTGCGGTCGTCGCGGAACTTCCTCAGCGCCGACGACCGCTACAGCGAGGATTCCAAATCCATGGAGTCGCTGTCCTCGTCGTCGGAGACGCACGTGGGCTCCGGCAGAAGTCACCACCGGAGTTTTCTCACGTCGTCGACCAGGGACGTACGCAGGATCGTAACGGTCGAGTCGAGGAGCAGCGAGAACCTGCATCGCGAGGAGAGTATGAATGCCGAGGTAAGACGCGGCTTGTTCGCCAACATGGGCCTCGAAAGGAAGATACCGCAACACCTCAGCTTGCCGCCGCCGTCCAACGTGTTCTCGTTAACCAGTCCCGGTGGCAGCGACCGCAAGATCACGATCCTGAGCCCACACTCGCCGCTGCAGTCGTCCGAGTTCCAATTCGCCGCGCAGACGCTCAAGAGCAGGCGCAAGAAGGCCATCGTATTGCCGAGGTTGGTGTTGCCCCGAAGCGAATCCGAGGTCTTTCTAGAGTGAGTAGTTGAATGATCGAATTTCGTTTCGCATCTGCCCCGCTATCTTTCGGTGTTTTCACGCGCCCGCAGGCGAGAAGATCGTTCGTTACGTTTTAACGCGCTCTCCCGTCAGCTTTGTAAAAAAGCACAAAAGGTAGCGCAGTCGAGAATTTATTCCGCGAAGTCTCTCGTAGACGGTCAGAAAATTGAGAGTAGAGTATTCGAAGTGTCTCTCTCGGCAATATTTTAACCCTTACAGTTCGGGAAACCACTATAGTGATGTGGCAGCGATTTTATCAAATGCAATTACAACTCTTATTATTATTATCATTATTATTATCCATTTTGTCTATGCGAATTAATAAGAAAAAAAAACTAAAAAAGGATATAAAAACTTAACCAAATTTTTTAATAAAAAATTCAGAAACAGATTAACATACGGATATATTTATATCACGCAAATTTTCAATGTTTTACCAATGATAGACTTTGAAATTTATGCAAATGATGATAGACATTTTATCTTTAAACGTTTTTTCATAGAAAAATAGAAAAAATACTAAATAAAAATGTTGCTTCGGGGAATTTGAAAAGTCGTGGGGTGAGTTCAGAACGGTTAATATTTAGTTAAAATTACCCAAGTCGAAATTTCGGTCCTATGTTAAACCTTGAATTCTAAACGCAGTAGGAGCTAAGTTAGCAAAGTAGATTTAATTCTAACGATACAATTTATTCCTACTTTGACTCTGATGATGTCCGAAATTTTCCTTTTCACTTTCTTTAGCGTCAAAATAGATGTGGAATAGAATAATGAGGCTGAAAGTAGGATCAAAATTTCGACTCGGGTGGGCAGGCCACTTCCCCGACGAAACTGCTCGTCACTCGCTCGCGACAATCGTAATTGTTTCGAGCGGCGCGTAATCTTTCCCATCGCGCGCTCGCTCTCTCGATCCGCGACGATAATTCCTCGACCATATTCTAGCAATCCGGCGAACCGCAGTAATTATGTCGCGTCGACATTCTCAGCACGAACATACGTTTGTCGACCGCACGCGAGCGTTGCTGGCGTCGATCAATTGGGACGTACGTTCGAAAATAGATTGCGCGTCTACGGGGCATTCAAGTTGGAAGCGTCGACCGATGAATTCAACGGGGAAACGCTCGCGTGTATGAGTATGCTACCCCCGCTTATAAATAATTTAGAGGAAAGCCTCCTCGCCGTCGTTATCGCCCAAGCGCAAACTCACGATTACATGGATGAGCCTCAATATCGGCACGGTAAACATGCGTACTTTGCTTTGAATCAATCTTCTACGTGTGATCCGATTAGCGAGAGAACGAGGAAGCGGATCGCGGAGATTTGCCAGTTCAACTTTTCCAAATTCGAACGTGACCTGAAACGAGTTTCCTCGCGAGTTCCGTTGTTGCGGATTATTGCACGCGCGAGGAGTATGAACTCGCACGAGAGATGCACGCATGAATTATTTATAGGCAGAAGTGGTAAATGCACAGTCCGTCTCTTGGAGCTTTATTTTTCTTTTTCCTTTTTTTTTGTCGCGGCAAAATTGAGTTCGTGGATGCCGTGAGCTCGCGCGAACGAAATATTGCGTCGACAAGCCTCGGGAGTCCTTTCGCAAGATATTTCGGCGGAAGCGAAGTGGAAATGTTGATTCTAGTCACATTAGCCTTGCAAGTAGCGTCGATCTTGCAGAGGATTTCTAGATGTCTCTTATTCTGACGCTCTTATTCTGACGCTCCGGATGATGGTTTAATAAAAATTTTGATTCGGGGGAACCTCACGCGACTTAAGGGTAACTCGCTTAAAAAAAAATTGTGGCCGATTACATTGCTCTCGAGCTATTGTGGCGAAAGAAAAAATGGAAAACTTTAGCAATTAACTCACGGATACCCCAGTAGAAGCGCCGCGAAGGTGAATTTCGGCGTTGATTAAAAGTTCGCACGGCTTCGCGCGGGAATTATCTTTACCAAAGTTGAGTCTACATATTCGGCCGTCGCTCTTAAATTGCGCGAATTTCTCGCTTCAAATTGGGCCGCGAGAAAAATTCAACGCCGGCGACTCGCTCGACGCAAAATCCATCACATCCATCAAGTAAATATTCACTATTTTTAGATTTTTTTCTCAGTGTAATGTATTCGCTATAATCTTAGAAGAATAATCTTTGTAAATTCTTCTTTCGCGTTGAGGAAGCTTATTTAGATGCATTGTTAAACCGCCTCCATTGTTATGCGCTATTGATATTAACGGTGAACTGTGATTACATTGAGAGAAAATAGGATCGACAAAATTGGCGATTACTCGCCTTTAAGGCAATATTGTATCAATTGGACAAATTACACGCGTTATGGCAACAATAAGTCGCGTTGATATAGTTACTGATCAAATCGCAAACCTCGAATCGATTGATAACTCATCACAGTAAATATATCATTCGTTCAGTCTAATAAACGTTTGCTCGAGCGAATTTGGTTCGTTCAAACAAATTCTCATTAACTCAACTACTTTCTTCCTCAGCGTAGTAACGTCGCGCGACGTATTAAAGTGGGTTCGTGTTCATGGGTCGCGAGTTAAAGCTTGATCGCCCTGTATCGTCGTCACGCGGTGAAAGCCTTTCATTTTGCATATCACAGCAACGCGTTGTAGCGTACAGCGGCGCGTTTGCTTCACTCTTAGCTGCATTTAAAATCGTCTGACGTCATTAAAGTGCACTGTGTCGACTCTTAGCTCGTTAAACAAAGCCTTTTCGGGGTACCCTTCACCGTACGCCTGGTAGTTTGCTGGATACAACGTGAAATACGGCACATTAAAAGACGGCTTGTTTGCCAGGATATTATAACGCTGTTATGCGTACACGATATTTACCCGATATTAATGAAGAATTAAAAAGAGTGCCTCTTCGCAACCTGATCTTCACGCTTTGACATGACCTTTTCGCTATCGGCTACCCTTCGCGAGGTGATATTTCTGCTTCTACAACTCGAGTATGTTCGCGTTACGTTCGACGCCACGTGCCAATTCGTATCATTTTGTGCAACTCAGGAAAGAACGTGACGGAATAATGCGTAGAGATAGAGTAGACAAGGTATAAGGAATGGTACTTTCGAGAGCGCCGTTGGTCAGGATGTTTTATTCTGTCCCGGCTAACGTCGGTCCTCCCTTCAAGTTAAGGAAGTTAATCCTTTTTATCTGGGATACGAGCATGTGCGAAGCTTTAGGAACTAGAGCGATCAGAGGATGTGGAAAGTAACGACGAGGAAGCGAGCCCAAAGTTAAATTAAAACCGGAGAGAGCTAACACAAGAAATAAAATTGCACATTAGAATTACGAGAAAAAAATGGTGGTATTGGTAACTGCAATCACATAGAGAAATAATTAGAATATGATAAAAAACCCATTTTTTTCTAGTAAATCCTATAGTAATGTCAATAATAATAATCTTACATGCATGTCACTACTGTCATTTTCGTGTTAGAACAAACAGAAAATATGATTACGGTTAAGAACAACTACAATTTTAGTTAAATAGACCATTTTCTTTTTATCAGTGTAGAACATTATCTCTGCACAATGACTCTGAACGACGATCTTCAACAAAATGCCATCATTCTCGAAACTGAAAATTCCTTCAACGTCATGTCGTTCACGTCGTTCAAAGATTCGCACGCTTTCAAGTTCGTAAAGCTTCCTTTCGGGCAACCTGTATTTCCATCGATACGCGACGCTTAACGCATAATCAATAACACGGGAAGCTAAACGAGAAAACGTTAATTCGTATAGTAGTATCAACAAACACGATTGATGTGCGCGCATTTGTTTTTTCTGCTGTTTTTTCATTTTTCTTTCGCCACGAAAAATCTGAAAAAGAAAAACGCGGAAGAATTGAAAACGCAATTTAACGTTATGGTCGCCACTGTTATCGATGGTTATTTCGAGCGGTTTTGTTGTCTCGCTCGTGCCATTACTTCTCGATTGGTGAGGGACGGGGAGAGAGAGAGGGGGTGAATGGGGGAGAGGTTATATTTTTGCCAATACGAGAAGCTCGCTGACCGCGACATTGACATATACGCGGTATCACCGCGACGTATTGCCGGCAGTTAGAGTTCGTTCTCTTTCTCGCCCTCGTGTTCAGAGTGTCTATCAATCTTGAGTTAAGATTTTATGACGTTTTCGCGGCGGATCAAGCGCACGAACCATTATCGGAAAGAATTCAGCGGGTTCTCGCTTCTGGATAACAGACAGAAGAAAATTAAATTTCACTTGAACGGTTATCCTCATTCATCTCTCCTCAATTAATTTTACAAAATCGATACTACGTGTAGAGCACTCGCGCGAGTAAAAATTGCAGTTTCACACAGTTAATTCTCAGTTAGTCTCTCTCTCTCTCTCTCTCTCTCTCTCTCTCTCTCTCTCTCTCTCTCTCT